CAAACTTTACCAACCATGGTTGTTCACCCGCTTCTAAGACTATTTTTTTAAGCTTAGGATTATCTATAGAATGCCAAATTTTATTTTTTTTTGTTTCAAAGTTACTGAATAAACTTTCAGCTGCTCTTTTAATTTTATGTCTATGTGAATAATTAGTAAGATCACTAAGAGGCAAAACACTTCGTGGTTAACTTTTTTTTGATATAGCTTTAATTAGTTCTTCATATAGCTGCAATCCAAAAACTAATATTCCAGAAAACGCTATTTTTCTTCCTGGATATCGAATCTTAAAAAAAAAGGAAAAAAAATAAAATTACTCTGTGTTCTAACAAAGAATCTTCGTATAAATTACACCTAACCCTGATACTAATAATAAATTATAAAACAATTATAAACTTACATTATAATATTTGGCGGATATATCCGAAGGTGAAATTTGTGAAACAATTGTATATTTCTGTTTATCATGTATCCACTCAATTTCAAAATGTGGAATTTGTTTAACATAATTAATAGATGCTTGAACATGATTTCTTTTATTACGTCCCCAAGAGACTTCTATTTTATAATTGTTAGAGATGGGATATACTCCCGGATGTTGTGTGTATTTAAGATTGGGTTGTGTGGGAAGTGCACCTAAATTTATGACTGTATAATTGTAATTTCCACTTTTGCTTTTCCAAGCAACTAAGTTGTTATGTGGATAATTATGATTTATTACCCCATCAAGTTTTTTTCTTGTTACGTTACTTGACATTCTAATGATTTATAATTAAAAACTCTTAAAAAACTTGATATTTAAAAAAATTCTTTATGTTTGTTACACACTTTCTTGTACGATAATAAATTATTTATAAAATCGTAATGGCAGCCAACTTAATTTACTTCTACGCTTATGTTTTGTTAAGTGATTATTTTTTTTTGAATTTTTTTTTTTTGAACGTTCACATTTGATTGTATCATTTTCTTGCCCTGCTAACATTTACTTATTCAGGTTTGAAAACCCAAAAACCTAGGTTTTATTTTTAAATTCCATATTTAAAAATCTTTTTTTACTTTCGTAAAAAAAAAAAAATAAAATTATTAGGTACTGGTATATATAATTATGTATACGTATAATTTTTAAAATACTAAAATAAACTCGTATAAAGTTGGTTACACTATAATCACATGTTTGTATTTTATAATATATATATTTAGATAATCAATCAATTAGGTTCGTATAGATTTTCTACCTTTAATGAATCAAAAAATGGTTGAATTTTTTTTTTTACATTTTATCAAGAGGTTTTGCTATTTAAATATTTAATTATAAATAGTAATTATCTTTTCTAACAAGAATAGAATATATAATTTATGTTCAAATTAATTTTTTTCATAACAGGTGATGTAGCTTTTTTAAAATTTTAGTATTCGTTAATATGTTTCGAGTTACTATTACATACTAATTTTTGTGGTTAAATAAATCAACAGGAGATGCTATCAAGCTCTCTATTACTAATTTTCATATCAG